TTGCCAAGTTTTTTGGTAACAAGGCAACCAACCAAAGCGTTTTGGCCTTATTTTATCATTTTTTATGAAGTTGTAGCTCAGGACGAAACATGTGGAGCGTGGAAGGAAGCAGAACGCCTTGTAATGATATTTATTTGATACATTTTACTAGAAAGTTTTTGAAAATTGTAGGTTGACTTTTTTCATTTTTGTGAAGGAATTTCCCAATAAATAATTGGGTATCAGCTATTGTTTCAGTTTTTGGAATAAATTCAAATTATTTTGAACGTTACCATATAATTTTTCCTAAATGTACGAAATGAGAACTGTGTAATTTTTTTTCAAATTTTCGGAGCAATTAAGCATACAATAATATCTGATTTGCTAAAACTTGCCGATAGAAGAGAATATTTTAGAGGTGTTTTGTTTTATAATTTCTAAAACTTTTCTAACATTTTTTTCTAGAATTGGTGAAATCACAAGACCCTAAAATTTTTGGATTTTGGACGCGCGTGTACAAGTAAAAAAAATTTCCTCGGAAAATGGAAAAAATTTAATTTATTTGTTGTTTCATGCAAATTATTTTTTTGAATTCTTTGATTGGCGCCGTATTGATTTTTCTGTATCGTTTGTACACGCGTAATTACTATTAGCTTGTTTAGTTCTGATTCACTTCCAGCTCTTGCCGAAAGACATTAAATGATGCAACAAACTCCAACGCTGGTCATGGTCAATGTTTATGATAGAGTTTTTGGACACGAAATTTTGAAAACTGAAACTGTTATAAATTGTGAAATAAATTTCACTTGTCATTTCCAATTAATCTATTATATATTTAAATGCGAGCTTCACTATCTCGCCATGTTTAAGCTTTTTCAACGTATTATTTTTGCATGTTTAAGCTATATCGTATATTGCAATGATTAAGAATTTTTTTCGATTTCCAATATGTTAATGGTTATTTTACCGAGTTTAAGTTAAGCAGCCCAATATCGAATTAGGGGTTGCAAATTTGGCCTCCAATTTTGAATGCCCGAATCGTTTTAGTTAATCTATTATATATTTAAATGCGGGCTTCACTATCTCGCCATGTTAAAGCTTTTTCAACGTATTATTTTTGCACGTTTAAGCTATATCGTATATTGCTATAGTTAAGAATTTTTTTCGGTTTTCCAATATGTTAATGGTTATTTTACCGAGTTTAAGTTAAGCAGCCCAATATCGAATTAGGGGTTGCGAATTTGGCCTCCAATTTTGAATGCCCGAATCATTTTACTTAACGAGATAAGACGATTTTTGAGATTTTTTCAAAAATTTTCAGAAATTTCAAATAACAAAATAATTTACAAAACTTGAAGTTACCAACCCTGTAGTTGGACGCTGTCGCAGTACTCTAAGGAGTTACACATCTTGCCTCTAAATACGACTGTTCAAATCCTTGTAGTTTTCGAGATATGACGTTTTTTGTGATTTTTTCAAAAAATTTTCAGAAAACTTATATTAATTTTTTTTCACAAAATCTTAAATTCCCAAACCTGTAGTTAGGTCCTGTCGGAGTATTCTCAAAGATTGCGAATCTTGCCTCCAAGTATGACTGCTCAATTCTTTGTAGTTTTCGAGATGTGACGTTTTTTGCGATTTTTTCAAAATTTTTCAGAAAACTTGAATTATTTTTTTTCTTTAAAAATCTGAAATTCCCAACCCTGTAGTTAGGTCCTGTCAGAGTACTCTCAAAAATTGCAAATCTTACCTCCAAATGTGACTGCTCATTTTTTTGTAGTTTTCGAGATATGACGTTTTTTGTGATTTTTTCAAAATTTTTCAGAAAACTTAAATTATTATTAGTTTTTGAAAATCTGAAATTCCCAACCCTGTAGTTAGGTCCTGTCGGAGTACTCTCAAAGATTGCGAATCTTGCCTCCAAATATCATTGCTCAATTCTTTGTAGTTTTCGAGATGTGACGTTTTTTGTGATTTTTTTCAAAATTTTCAGAAAGTTAAAATTAATTATTTTTCAAAATTTGAAATTCCCAACTCTATAGTTCGGTGCTGTCAGTGTACTCTAAAAAGTTGCAAATCTTGCCACATGCGACTGCTAAACGCGAATGCTCAAATGCTTTTAGTTTCCGAGATGTGACGTTTTTCGATTTTTTCAAAATTTCTCAAAGAACTTATCTACAAAGAAATTCAAAAAATTTGAAACTACAAACTTAATGAAGATACAACCTTATTGTCAGCGCAGACTCAGGCGTCTCAAATCTTGCCTCTTAATATGAATGCTCAGATCCTTTTAGTTTCCGAGATAAGTCGTTTCTTTTCAATTTTTTTTTTCGGGAATCTTAGGTTAAAAAAAATTCACAAAATTTTGGATTCCTAACCCTATAGTAGGGTGCTCTCAGGGACTCTCAGTGGTTGCAAATCTGGCTTCCAAATTTCTCCAGAGGCCCATTAAGTTTTTGAGATGACGCTTTCAAAATGGGAATTTCAAAAAATAAATTAAAAGTTAGATAATTACCAACCCGGTAATTGGGTGCAGTCAGAGTACACTAAAAGTTTGCAGATGTTGTTTCCAATATATGCGGTTTTTTTCATGAGTTGTCGAAAAATTTCGAAGCACCGAAGGTGCGTTAATTGCTAGTAAAAATTAATGCATTTTTGCGCAGATATTGCTTCTGGTCGAAATTTAATTTCAAAAACTCGAAGCTTAAATAGGTGTTAGAAAACTAATCCGAAATTTCCTGCCAAAACTTTCTTATCAACAAACTTCAAAAAAAGGAAAATTAAACTTTTCGAAATTCAAAACTTTATTATGATTTTATCTTTTTTACACAAGCATAGCTTGCGTTAGAGTATGAACTCTCTTTTTTCCAACCTAAGTCGCAAATATTGTTGCGATGCAATTGTTGTGACAAAATGTGTTCATTTTGAAAGTGTTCATTTTTACCCAGCTTTTAAGTACAGCCAATGCTAAGAATTTTAACACAGACTATTATATTACAAAAAGTACTTTAGCTTCAAGATATCATGGATCTGTAGCGTAGAGATAGGGAAGGAGACCAGCAACAAAATAAAAGGGTTTGAACCTGGGCAGGGTCGGATGTTAATGAATTTTTTTCGTATACTAGTTAAAATGCGTTCGCTCTATAAATTGAGGCATGTTAGTTGATAAATTTCTTTTTTTTCAAATTGACTGGTACTGCTAATTCACCATAGTTGGCTAGCGTTCATTAGCATTTATGTAGACTCATAATTAGCGTGCGTCACTTAGCAATTAAGTAGACTCATAATTGGCGTGCATCACTTAAGAAATTTTTTAGACCCAAAGTTTTACTCATTCAGTTTATCCCAGTAGCGTTATTGGTCAAATTTTGCTTGTGTATGCGAAGTGCAACTTCGCATCTAACTCAAATTTCGTTTTATCTATTTGGCAAATGCATGTTACAATCGAATGACGGCCATCAAATGAAAATAATAATTTTCGAATTACAAAACCAAATCTCTTCAGCTAAGATGCAATAATTGAAGGTGTAGAAAAATTGCAAAAATTTAAGTTTCTGGAGGCTCGCAACTTGTCATCAAAATAACAACGCACTAAAATTTGCATTCAGTGGAAATTGAAAATTATACCGTAAATATTTATAGTTTTCCGCTACATGAAGTTGTCAAATTTAAATCCACTATTTTCTTAAACCGCTAAACAATCGTGGCAGTACACTGAACTCAAGTGAAAGCAAAGGGAATGAGTTCTGAAGTCTGTTTTTGAAATTAGGATCAATATTGCTTCTGGTCGAAATTTAATTTCAAAAACTCGAAGCTTAAATAGGTGTTAGAAAACTAATCCGAAATTTCCTGCCAAAACTTTCTTATCAACAAACTTCAAAAAAAGGAAAATTAAACTTTTCGAAATTCTAAACTTTATTATGATTTTATCTTTTTTACACAAGCGTAGCTTGCGTTAGAGTATGAACTCTCTTTTTTCCAACCTAAGTCGCAAATATTGTTGCGATGCAATTGTTGTGACAAAATGTGTTCATTTTGAAAGTGTTCATTTTTACCCAGCTTTTAATTACAGCCAATGCTAAGAATATTAACACAGACTATTATATTACAAAAAGCACTTTAGCTTCAAGATATCATGGATCTGTAGCGTAGAGATAGGGAAGGAGACCAGCAACAAAATAAGAGGGTTTGAACCTGGGCAGGGTCGGATGTTAATGAATTTTTTTCGTATACTAGTTAAAATGCGTTCGCTCTATAAATTGAGGCATGTTAGTTGATAAATTTCTTGACTGGTACTGCTAATACATCATAGTTGGCTAGCGTTCATTAGCATTTATGTAGACTCATAATTGGCGTGCGTCACTTAGCAATTAAGTAGACTCATAATTGGCGTGCATCACTTAAGAAATTTTTAAGACCCAAAGTTTTACTCATTGAGTTTATCCCAGTAGCGTTATCGGTCAAATTTTGCTTGTGTATGCGAAGTGCAACTTCGCATCTAACTCAAATTTCGTTTTATCTATTTGGCAAATGCATGTTACAATCGAATGACGGCCATCAAATGAAAATAATAATTTTCGAATTACAAAACCAAACCTCTTCAGCTAAGATGCAATAATTGAAGGTGTAGAAAAATTGCAAAAATTTAAGTCTCTGGAGGCTCGCAACTTGCTATCAAAATAACAACGCACTAAAATTTGCATTGAGTGGAAATTGAAAATTATACCGTAAATATTTAAAGTTTTCCGCTACATGAAGTTGTCAAATTTAAATCAGGCAGCCACTATTTTCTTAAACCGCTAAACAATCGTGGCAGTACACTGAACTCAAGTGAAAGCAAAGGGAATGATTTCTGAAGTCTGTTTTTTTGAAATTAGGATCAAAATTGTAAATATATTTTTCCTTAATTAAGTTTTACTCTGTCTGGAATATATTCGGACGCGTAATTTTTCGTGAAAAAGAAATTAATGCTTCCGATTCCTCAGTTTCTTCTCGTCAAAAATCTTCATCAAAGCAACGACTGTACAAAAAGATTCAATTGATAAGTATGAAAAAATTATTTATTCGGATTCTGTTCAGTTCATTCAGAAGAGAGATTCTAATTCGGATCGTATCTAGTGGTAATCTTTCTCATGTCCATTTCCTTCTGTCGGAGTCTGGCCTCCAGCTGAGTCATGCTCTGGAGTAACACGTGGGTGCTCTTGGCGAAGTCAGACAGCTGGTTATGGTATGTGTACCCTGGGTGGTCGACAGGTGTCACGTGTTTGTCACGTGTTTGATGTGACCCCAGCCGCGATCTGATATTCTCGAGGGCCACATTGCCGCGATTAATGGCTCTAAATTAATGAGATATTGTTGAAAACAAAAAAAATGCGATTGAAGTCATGTGGGAATCTTTTTTTTGCAATAGCTGCATAGTTTAAATACAAGGACCGCTCTGTTACAATAAAAGAGAGAGAGAGAGAGAGAGAGAGAGAGAGAGAGTGCTTTTTTGCGAGTGCATTTATTGTGAAAATTCGGTATAATTTTTAAAATATATTTTGAATACTCATGAAGAAAAATTGTCTCTTTTAAAACTTCCGATGAGTCACCGGTTGGAGATGTATTTTTATTATTTTTATTGTTTTTATGAATTCTACACTAACATCTCCGTCCTTTCGGATAGTGCTCTAGGTGAACTAATCGTAGACGACATGGGACTAGAACACCCTGGTACGACCATGTGGGATAGATTCGGGTATCTAGAAGCGTACTGAGCCCAGTAACTCCAACTGGGAGGATGAGTCACTGAAATCGGGAACCCTGCCGACCCTGAGTACCCCGCCGACCATGAGTACCCTGCAGACGTTGGATACCCTGTGGATATCGGATACCCTGCCGACGTCTGCTCTTCATGCGGGTAATCGGTGTCGCTTCTCAGATGTTTCTCAGCACTGTGGGAGTTCAGTTCGCTTCCGAATCCATTCGAAGTTTCATAGTAATGTCCATTTTGGTTCGGTGACACATCGCGTGAGCTGGAATGAATAGGAGGCATTCGATTGAGCCCACCTGAGTTTTGTCGAAGTGAGTTCAACTGTCCCTCAAGATTTTCTTTGAGTCGCTCGCTTGTTGAAAGCTGAGCAGCCAGCTGTTGATTCTCGACCTTGCAACAATTGAAAAATTAATTATCCAAAGTCTAAATATAAAAAGCTGACAAACTATCATTAAACTCTGCAATTTAGTCTGTATAGTTGAACAATTAACTACATAAAAAGACCCGTTTTTATAGGGTTTCCTTTTAAAGCATTAGGAAGTACAAAAAATTTCCCTAACTTCTCTAATTGAAATGTTTCCGTAAAGGATAGTTATAATTTTTTTCCAAAAAGAAATAAACAACCTTCAGCTTGATGTTATCCTGGGTGATTCCCATTTTAGAGTGTGTCTCTTTTCTAAGTGCCTCTATCTGCTGTTCTTTGTGCTTTAGTTTATCTCTGGTGATGTTTAACTCCGTCTTCAGTCTAGAAATATCGTCTTTGCTGTTTGCCAGGTCTTTCTCCACTTTCTCTTTGTCAAGTTGGATGTTTTTGTTATCCCACAATGAGTCATTAGCAGATTGAAGACTTTGGTTGTTTGACGCTAAAATGATTCAAAAATGTTTCAAAAGATATAGATTCAGCCGGTGTATATGATGTATATGATCACCATAGGATGGCTGATTCTTAGCACCGACAAAAATCCGCCACTCAATTACATTTGGCATATATATTTTTTCACGTTTCCCCAGTTCAATATATGTTTTGACCACTCTATCCAAACCAAACTATAATTTTGAGAGAAAAGATATTTGAAACAAAACCATTTAAATAAAACTTTATTCTACTTTTTCCTTCTTTACTCCCCCCCCCCCCCACCTGCGAATTTTTACATTTAAATTTTCTGTTCCTATTGTCCGATTGTTACAAAAATTGGCATGTATACCAATTAGGCTATCACAAACATATTTAGTCTCGATACTCAACATTGTAAAACTATTAGTTACACCATAAAAGTTATGCTTATATGAGTATGGGGGGGGGGGGGGGGGGGGGGGGTCAGCCTTTTATTCTCGGTCGAGTAACTTACTTTCAGGAACCCCCCCCCCCACCGCTGATTGCTTTTATGGATTTTTATAATTGTACACACCCATTATGATTTCGGTCTCCTGCTGCAGCTTTGCTTGTTCTGCCTGTCTTATGTTCTGCTCCAATTCGTCCTGTCGAATCTTAAACATAGATTCTTTATCAAAATCTGAAAGTACGAAAAAAAAATTATTATGACAATTTTCTTCCTTATGGAGCTCCCCGATTCAAGAAAGCTAGATGCTAAAAACTATTGTTCTGATGAGAGAAGCAAAACTGGTTATGTAAGCATCTAGACTCTCAAACTAAATCTCAATCTTCTAAATTTTTTTCATAGCAATCTGAAGTTTGTCTTTGTTTTTTTAAGAATTATCTTAACCTGTAATTCGCTCTTCAGTCCTTCGTTCGCTGCCTCCAAAAGAGCAACCGAGTTCCTCAACTCGTCATTTTCTTCCTTCAGCGCCGTCTTTTCTTCATCTTGCGGCTTGTCTTTTTTCCCCAAACCCTCTTTGACAGATTTTTGCACAACCGCTTTTGAAAGTTTCGTCACCTTTTCCCGCAGAGAGTCAACTTCGTCAATCAATTCGCTATTTTCTTTTTTATAATCTGCCAAACTGTTTTTTCAACTTTTTGATTTCATCAGAATTATTCACAATTTTATCATCAGTTTTTGATGAAGTCTTTTTGTTTTCACTTTTTAATTTGTTCACTTCAGTTTGTAGCTCGGAAATTTTCTTGTCTTTGGAGGAAACTTGGTCGATTTTCGATTGTTGGTCTTTCATTTGAGCTTGGCATGTTTCGATCGTAGCTGCAGCTTCATCTAATTGCTGGTTTAGCTCATCAATTTCAGCTAGAAGTTCGTTTTCGTTATACTCTGGAGCTTTGCTGTTTTCGCCGGCAGACTTTTTCGAATTCTTTTCATTTTCAGTTGTGAGCTTTTTGATTTCAGATTTCAACTTCTCGATTTCTGCCTCTCGATCGTCAAGTAAATTGAGTTCTTCGCTCATTGCTTCAATTTCGGCTCTGTATTTTTCCACTTTTTTCTCCCGTTTTGCTAGTTCGGCTTGTAACTTTTCCACATTTGGGTCTGAGCTGTTAGATGATTTATTAAGATTGGCTATTTTGTCTTCCAATTGTTTCACTTTGGAGCTCAATTCTTTGTTTTTATCTTCGGAAGTTTTGAGTTCCTTTTCTTTTTTTGAGAGTTGGTCTTTAAATTTGGTTACTTCTGGATCGTTTTGTGTATTTTTAGAGGGAGCTGCAGTTTTTTCTTGTCGCAGTTTCTTCAGCTCAGCTTCAGTTTTGTCTTTTTCATCTACAACACATAATTTATTTGAAAAAAACTTTGAGCAAAATTTGGACAAAATTATATTTTCGTACATTTGCTCTCGCAAGTGAAAATAATATTGGATCAACTTTATTCAGCGGATGTTAATCATGTCTATTAGCATGACTTTCTTGGTAAAAACGGCGAATTTTTGGGTTAACCATTCAAATTTTTGTTGTGTCAAGTTCGTAAAACTGCAAAATCAAAAAAGAGTTCAAATTCAAACAAAATACTGTTCCGCTGCAAAGCAAGTTTTTTTTAATCGTTCACAGACTACCAGGTTTGACCTTCATACACCAAAAACGCTAATTATGCAACTTCCAACCATTTTCTAACGTAAAATTTCTTTTCATTCAGTTTTAATATTTCTCAAAATTTAGAGAGACCAAAATCTGGTAACGCAAGACTATTATGCACTTATAATGCTAATGTTTTTTGTTTTGAAGATTTCTGAAGTTTTTGTAGATCTTAAAATAATCAAGCTTATATATTTTTTCAATGCATTTTTTTACGAAATTCTTAAGTTGTAATTTAGGCATACTTTACCCTCTGCTTGCTGCAGCTGTTGTTTTAGAGTGGCAATTGCCTTGTCTCTTTTTTCCAGTCTCTTTTCCAGTTTACCACAAACTTCGTCCATCTCCTGTAGTTCCGCTTCCAGAGACTCAATTTTGACAGCATCCGAAACGTCTCCTTTACCTTTTGCCCCGCCTCCTTTCGCTGCGGCCATTTTGCAAAGATTTCTACGTTTGCTTCTTCGCCGTCAGCAACTGGAATATTGTAAGTTAAGCAAACAGAAAAAGTCAAAATTAGTACGAGTAATTTTCGCCTTATTTTTTCCACATTTGATTAGTGTATGAGCCTCCCAAAAGATTTTAAAAAAACTTTAAAAAAGATGCACATGAACTTCAGAAAGACTTCGGAAAATAAAATTGGTTTTCAAAAAATTTCAATTATTCCGACCAGTGTAAAGCCTTTTTTAAATGCTTTTATTATACAGAACGTTATTTTTAGCTCTTTGAAAAAAGCCGCCAATTAAAACAATCAAGTTTTCACGTTCTCATTGTTTTTGCTCAGTTTTTTTTGCACTGCAGTCGATCAAAATGCCAATATTGTTTTTAGGTTCACATTTTTCAAAAGATTTAAACAATCCATTTTCTTCGCAAGCTATTCGTTGTTTCTAATTCTTTGAAATAATAATTTGCGGCTCTTTTTTTATTTCTTTTACTTTCTTTAAAATTCTTTATTGTTCTAAACTGCAAAAAAGTACCCTAAAAATGTCTCTTTTAACTTTTTTCATTTTTTTTTCAATTGAATTGGTGTTAGAGCCGTAGGCTGGGTTTTCCTCGCTCGGTGTCGATGACATCAAAAGAAGCACGTAGCACGAAATTTGCTATCATATTAAAACTTTTTAGTCGTAAATGTGTTCAAAGACTCGAAAGTGCTGCCTCGGCTTCGTTCCTTAGACAAAACGAGAATAATACGTCAGAATAATTCGTAAAAAAACTGTCTTTCGAGAAAAAAAAAACAATTTTCTCCCAGTTTTAAAGTTTTTCTTGTTTTGAATTTCTAAAGTTCAACCATTGTGATCAAAATCTTCTGTGCTAGATTTTTAAAATTTTCTTTTAACAGCAAGTTTTCACTTGTAACATTTTTCTGTATATGGGCGATTGCTACAAAAATTGGCATGTGGACTGATTTGGTCATTCCAAAAATTTTTGGTCACATGAAACCGCTCATTGTAAAACAATTTTCAAATATAAGCAAGGAAGGGTTGAGTCCTGTAATTTTAATTTTTCATAGCAACTGGCTATTCTTGTTTGATTTCCGGCTATAATTTTTGTCATTTTCCCATGATAGCAAGTCAGCCTACAAACAGGAAACTTAAGCACTTGGTGGGGCTATTTTTACTGGGGGGGGGGGGGGGGGGGGGGGGAGGGCTAGCTATAATTGAAAAGAGCCTGCCTGAAGCTCTTGCACCACTTGCCAACGAGCGCTTTTTGTGCCGACCTTTCTCGAAGAATGGGAAGGAGCTATGGCGCAGGGTCTGTTTTTTTTTCAGCCATTAATGACCTCGTCAAGGAAAGCCGCGTGGATGTCATGTGTGGCATCTTAAGAAACCCTATTAACATCTATCGATATTTTAAAAAGCTGATCCGAATTCTTTGCGAACACGATGTGCTTTTTTTCATGGCCGGCTTTCTTTGTGTAATACTTCAAATTGATTTGTGTGCTTCAGTTGTTATGAGTTTATTGTCCAAGAATAAACCGTTTTTTTTTTTTCAATATAAAACCACGTAAAATCAATTACAACACCAACAATTTTAGTTTCGATCCCCCAGCTTGCAGATTTAATCCTAAGTATGCATGTTAATGTGGATAAGTTCGTAATCAACAACTTAAAAGGATTTCGTTTTTTTTTTTGTTTTTGATCGCATTGTTTTTGGGCAACGGCAGAACTAATATGGTGCAATTTTTTTTGCGAATTTTTGTGTCCAATATCTTGCCCCAAACAGATTTAATTTTTGGTTTTTTAAGTTAATCAAAAGTTATCCCAAAACTACCCGTTCAGTTGCTGACAAAACTACATAAATGTGGGCTTTTTATGTAGCCCAATGAAATTTAAGAAGGGTTTAATTTTCTCTGTTTTGTCTACATTTTTTTTTCGTTTGAAAGCCAAAAATTGTAGTTTATACTTAAATAAAAGATTACTTAAAAACAATTTTTAAACATTTTGTAAAGCATAAGGGCTCTTTTCCAGTTCCCCCTTTCAAAATACCGAGATTTATGTTTGTTTTACATGTTATTACGGCTTAACGCGTGATGTTATGCTGTAAAGTCTGCAAAACAATTGGGGCCTAGGAAATTAGACGATAAGCCAATTAGACGGATGCTACAAAAACGAAATTAGACGGAATTTATTTTTTACATTTCTGGCATTTTAGACGAAAGGGAAAGGGCCAACAGTTTTTCTTAAGAGTCAAGTTTCACAAATACAAAAAGAACATAAAATGTCAATACCTATCAAAACAATTAGTTTAAATGAACATAAAATGTCAAATCTGAATATTACAGGAGAGTTTTGAATTGAATAAATTATGCATGATTGACTTGTAAAGTTTTTGGCCACCGAAATTGAACTGTTGTCTACAAACAATTTTATTTTTCTAACGCAATTTCTGTGCAAACAAAGTTAATTTCTCTAACTTTCGTCTATTTTCTTACAATTGCAGTTTTGCAAAATCGTCTAATTTCCTTTTAAGTACCTCCGTCTAATTTGCTTATCGTCTAATTTCTCAACCCCCAGAACAAATCTGTTCAGAATTGTCGATTTGTTCACCACGCCGAATTTCATTGCATTATGATAACGTTAAATAGACTTTAAAATTGAATTTGAAAGGGGGAACTTGAAAAAAGCCGCATAAGGAGCTCACGAAATAGTACTGTCACTAATTGAACCGCGGAAGTTTATTTCAAATAGTCCCTAATGAAAAAGCCAAAAATAAAATTTCAAGTTTTAATAGTTATGGCCGGATAATTTATATCAGCACTGTATTATTGAGTTTTTTACGGAAATTAGTTAATGTAATTAATCACGTGCCATTTGCAAATCGTCAGAGCAGTTTTTAGTTCCTTAATTAAAGCTGCTGTTAATTATATTCGACTAATTATCCTTTTAGAAAAAATCAGAATTTCCTTCTGATAAAGTTCAGACGGTGCTGTATTGTTATGGGTGACAACAAGAAGACAACCAATTTCCCCTCGGGAGAAAACTCTCAGAATGTGACTTTGTCCAACGCTCCATTAACCAGAACAGGCAATTTTCAAAAAAATGACATTTTTGTAAATCTAATTTTTTAATTAACATCTTGCTACTCATTCAGAGCAATTTTTCACCCCACCTTGAAATTTCATTTGTACATACTTCTTCGTTCACGCTTTTTAACTGCCATGGGCTCTTTTCCAGTTTCCCACCCCCTCGTAAAATTACAAAATAAAGCTGTTTGAAAGTTTTTCACACGGCATTTTACATGTAAGAAATTTTGTAAAAAAATATTCTTCTGTTCACGCGGACACGTTTTGATGCAGTTCATAACATGAAAATTTATTTAAAACAGAGTTTCGTACATTAAATTTCAGAAAAAATCAAAAAGGGGAACTGGAAAAGAGCCCTGCCATGATACTCAGCGCGCTGAGCACACGCCCTGCGGCTCTTTTCAATGTCCCCCCCATATTTCAAATTTTCTGACTTCATAGTTGTTTTGCAGGTTGTTATGTCTAAATACGTAATGTTAGGATGTAAAGTATGAATAACAGATCTGTGCAGATTTTAGAACAAAAAGTGCATTTGGCTCTTTTCCATTTTCCCCTCACATTTAAATTTAAATTTTGAAAAACTACTTTAACATTGACTTAATGCATGGTGAACTAACTAACAATCGTGAACAAATTTGGTCTTCTTGCTTCACATTGTAATATCATGCATTCAGCCGTTATAACATTTGAAACGACTATGAAAACGATCATTTTGAAATTGGGGGAGGGGGGGAGGGGGTGGAAAAGAGCCGGGCATTTTCGCAAAAAGGAAAAAAAATTGAAATGGAACTGGAAAACTTTACCTCAAGGTATTCATTTAATTAGGTTCGAGAGAAGAAGAGGCAGCAAATACAATTGGGAGAGCCTGGAGGAGGTTCTCGGCCACTAAATCGAGCTCGGAAAAATTGGAAAAAATGTCAGAAGAGCCGAAAGGAAATTAGCAGAAAAAACTAATCTGGCGACAGACTACTTTAATTCAAGGCTGAATTCATTGAGTTTTCAATTTATAAGAACATTTATTTCGCTTCAATGACTGTGTACAAAACATCGATCTTCTATCGTCCCCCCCCGTCCCCCCCACTGTCGATTATGACGATTCCAACCCCCTCTATTACCGCTGCAAACTCGGTTGTTTAACAGAGCAAAGAATTAAGCTCTTTGCACTTCTGGATTACACAGACATATAATTTTGTGGTTTTTGCAGCTGAAATTCAATGACAAATGTTGAACCCATCAAATCTTAACCAAATAATTTTTTTTGCAGAATCCAGCGACAAAAGTATATATGATGATACACAAACTCGTTGATAAGTGTTTAGGCAATTGTCTCCAAGTATTTATTCGATTATTTCCCTGATTGTTACAAAAGTTGGCATGCGGACCAATTAAGCCATGAAAAACATTGTTAATCTTCAAAAATAACCTCGTTATACCATAAAATTGATGCTTGTGTGAGGGGGAAAGTGTGAAAGATTGCTCATACACACTCGCATTGCACATGCGCCACTTTGAAAATTTTAAACAATTTGGGCGGCTTTTTACCATAAAAAAAATTTAACCATAATAGAATTTTTTTAGTTTCCAATTACACAGAGGCGAAGCAGAAAATCGCATTACTTGTTAAACCAAAAAAAAACATCGCTTTATAAGCTGGCAAGAAAAAATTAAGTCAAATCCACTGAAGCAAAAAACCATACAAAATGTCAAAATAACATCTACAAAATTACAAAGTTATTGTTATATCGAAGTATTCTTAGTTTCAGATAAATAACTCTAAACACACAACCACCGGCGTTAAATGAGTTTCCAGAAAAATTATTGAGCAGCATTCATGCCGACAACACTTGGGTAAACGCACGATGAGCCGAAAGCAACAAAAAAAATATTATGAAGAACTGAACAATGAAACTGTGA